CCTTTCCCCCCCTTCCCAACCCCTTCGACCTGATCTCCCTTTCGCCTTCCCCCTTCGTCCTTCCTCTCGGCCCCTACCTAACGGCCCCCCGTTGATCCCTCCACCTTCCAACCCCTCACCCCCCTCCCCGATTCCCCTGCCCTACAGATAGCAGGTAACAGGGACATTACCGCAAATACGATTTGGAGATATGCTCGCCACCTAGCTACATCAGAGAGGGAGTTACGCAACGCCTATGACGTCCTTATTGAAAGGAGTAACCGGATCGTCGTCACCATCTTGCGCTTCGACAGGTAGGAAACAGTCGGCTTTGATCAACCGGACTCGGCGCCGCGACTATGGACCAATCTCATCATGAGAAGATTGAGTGCCAACCATGAAGCTATCATTAACGACTTCAGAAGTCTCTGGCACAATCACAGGGCGCTCCTTCTTGCGGATGCACTTACAAGGGACCTCCAACGGTGCCACCTGGAAAGGAGAGTCGTGGAGCTAAGGAGACAGAACCGGCTACTGGCCGGTACCCTCCACTCTCTCTCTGCCTTTGCGTTAGCCCTTTGCTATATCGTCACCTTGACTGATGGTACGTATACGTGCATGCAGGACTGAAGCAAAAGCGCTATAGCAGATTGAGAGAGCTGGGGTGATCGGAGCAAAGTACGGGATCAGTAAACCCACTCCTTGGGTAGCATGGCGCTGGAAATCGGACGGCGTATTCCGGAGGTGCTCAGAGTGGAACTTGATCCAGATATCTTCCTGCCTTGGCCGCCAGCAGGTCCCACCCTGATCAAGTTTGTCAAGCCTAACGTCTGGGAAGCTCAGAGGAGTACCGCGCAACCTGCCATACCGATCGACACTATTGCCATGGCGGACATCCTGACTGCGATGCCACAAATTACGACCATCACTGGGGTCTTACTTACGGTGGAATATGAAGGAGTGGCGGTAGGGGAGGTGAGGGGGTTTGACACTCGATCGGAGGATGGAGGGATTAACTGTGACATGAGGCTGAGGGGAGTTTCTGGGGATGATGCATTCCCCGGAAAGCAGACTGGGCTACTTTGGCCGGTGATAAGGGCGACTATGAAGGATGTAGCTTCATCAATAGCTGCTACGCTGGACTATGGCGGGGATTCTGGAGGTAGCTGCTTCTATGGATTTGGTGGACTATTTGGCCCGGGATCGGACTTCTGGGGAAGGATTGTGAGGATCGGAGATGCTCTGTACGCGGAGCCGGAACCATGTGCACCAGGCACTGACGGAACTCTGGCGATAATTGGTGCGAACACCGCAACTGTTCAAAGCGATGGTGGAACGGTGGGAGGAAGCGGGATGGGTCAACCGGTGGAAGGAGCACACTGCAGCAAAGCGGCCTGATCGATGGGAGCAAGTGGGGAGAAGGCAGCAAGGGGGCCTTTTCGTCCCAAATAAACTGATACACACACTCTCTTCCCTACATAGCCTCTTCCCCTCCGATCCCCCCACCATGCTTCCTCGCCCCCCTCCCCCTTCTCTCCCTCTCTCTCTCTCTCTCTCTCTCTCTCTTCCCTGCTCTCCCCTCCCCATCCCACTCTCCCCGCCCCCCTCCCTCTTCCCGTCTTGCTCTCTCCCTGCATAGGGATGGCTCCCCGTCCATGCGCATGCTACACTGCTGATGAAGCCCCCAGGCTGGGTAGGAGTATGGAGTGACTCGGACACATGTTTTTCAATTTCATTGTACAATTCTTCGATTTTTCATTTTTCATTTTCCATTTTTCTATTTTTTCATTTTTTCATTTTTCCGTTTCCTTTTCGCCTTGATTGCAGGAGAGCATGGGTCGAATTGAGAATGGGCCCTTGGGTAGACGGAAGTGGTATAGGAGGGAGGATGAGCCACGAAGGAGGTTTTTGCACATGAGATATGTAAGTAGACTGATGGAGGCAGTCTCAGCCAGAGCGTTGATCATTTCCTTGATGACAGCTGTCGTTGGGCAACAATTTGCTGAATGGATGGAGACCGTCACCCTCGGCTGAACTTATAATGAACCGGTCTCCGGGGTACTTTACAAACCTGCGGAAGTATTTCGGGACTTCGATCAGGACCAATGGGAGGGTAGCAAGGGTGGTTGTGCCTGTAGCAGTAGGTAAACTCAGCTTACCAATCCAGCTACCGAGGGATTGCTTGAATCTGGGAAGATTGGGCGAACCACGGGCACCACGTGATCACCACGGACTACACTATTTCCCAGCTACCCCAGCTCAGAACTATCCTGCACTTTGGCCTCAACCATGTTCTCGCCGCTAGGTTAGAGATCGAGGTAGCAGCGAGGGAGATTCTGAAAGCTTTTGATGAAATAATGACGCTATATAGCAAGGAGTATGAGCTCCGGGAGGAAGATTTGTGCAAAGGTAGAGCAGGAATTAAGCGATACTGCTTTAGTAGATTTGTGGAGTATAGAAGGAGGTACAGTGAGGCAGGAGTCATTGACCTCAGTGCGCATTACCTCTCCCATGAGATCTCATATATCACGGATTATTTCTTTGTTGCCAGTATGGATAAAGCTGCAAATACTCCAGTAATCATGTGTAAAGATCTTGTAAGACAGGTAGCATTTGAGAGACTGTCTGGACCAGATTTCGAGAAACTCGAGCATAAGCTAGAGACGATAATCGGAATTATAAGCAATAGCAATACATCTGATTACCCTCTGGGGCCGAAGAAGGTCCCATACCTCATGGCAAACTTCAAAAGCCACAAGAGCACTCTAAGATGGATCACTAATGCAGACCAGTGTGTGTTCTCCCCTGTTGCCTCCTTATGTGCTGGTGCTCTGAAATTGATCAGTGAGGAGGTCCAGAAATACTGTAAAGAAATGTCCCGAACGATTAGAGATCTGCACGAGGTCGATGCGAACCTATGGTGGCCCATAGACTCCATCAATGAATATGTTTTAAGCCTACCTGAGACGATCTTTACGTATTTCTCAACGGATATTAGCCGATGCTTTGAAACGATCCCAACGGATAACTCAAAGCATGGGTTGATCTCGAAACTCTCATTTGCGATCAAGAAAGGTTTTGCATACAGATTGAAAACAGAAAAGGATAAGTACATCAGGATTACCACAACAAACGATGGTAAAACTAAGTATGGATGGACGAATTCGAATGTCGAAAAGCCGGGTGAAAGAACGATTGAACTAAAACAGCTCATTGAAATGAACCAATGGCTGGCAGACAGGAACTACATTCAATTTGGAGGGGGAATCTGGAGGCAGAAGAATGGCATCCCTATGGGGCTGCCTTGTTCACCTATCTGGTGCAACTTGTACTTCTTTCGATATGAATTCGAAAGCATAATCAGACTGCTGAGATCTGGGAACAAACACCTAGTCGCACTTTTCGTACATACATTCAGATATATGGATGATTTGAATTCCATCAATAATACCAGCATTCGGGAGTTTCTTATGGAAAATCACCTCCTCAACGAGGAGGATCCCATCTGCCTGTACCCCTCTGAATTCATCGAGATCAAAGAACAAAACATCGATGACAAAACTAGCACATTCCTGAACCTGAAACTAAGAATCGAGACGCCGGAAGGGGGATACAACACGGAGAAATTCGACAAGGTGGAAGAGATGGGATTGGAAGTGAATAGGTACATCAGATTTGACTCCAACAGACCAATTAAGCAGTCGCTATCGATCATTCTCGGACAAGTGGCAGCTGCGCTTATTGTCTCATCAAACCCCACCACAGCTGCACGGGACGTTAAAAGAATTGTGGACAGAATGAGTCGGGATGGGTTTAATGAGAAAAGGTGCTGGGGAATGGTGAGGAGGGTGTTGAGGAACCCTGAACGATACCAGCCATTCGGATGTGCGACGGACGAAGTTTACCGCATTCTTCGATCCTCATTCGGAATGAATTACTAACCCCTGTTGTGCTATGTAATTGCAGTGTGCCGTGTATCTGTCTGTGTGTGATGTGACCCTGGATCCTCTACAAGACGGACCAGGGTGGTATCTGCGAGGAACATGTATGGGACAGGTACCCTTGCAGGTACCTGTCCCAACCAGGAACCCCCTTCGCAGGGGACAGTGGGAGGGACACACACACACACACATATACTCAGGAATTGAAGGGACCACCCCTCGGAGGGAGCAGCGACGGGAAGAGGGCTCGGAAGAGAGCCCCGGGAGTATGCGGACCCGGGTAAGATTACAAACGGGCCTCGAACAGAATAATACCCCGGTACAGGAACCCACACTCTTCCGAGAACAAGGAGCGACCGGGCTCGAACCAGGTACCTGCGGAACAAGTAGGCACGTGCCCACAGACCCACCCATCTACGACCCCCCAATGAAAAAAGCAGAAGTAATCAACTATTATCTTTTGAACCCACCCTGCACTTGAAAAACAGTGAACCTCAAGCYCRGGACCTACGGACCAAGCAGGMGGGTACCCCATCCCCCTTCRATATCTCYCGATCATGGGATATCGGAGGCGGATCTTTTTCGAATCAGGGAACTCTGTCAGGGAGTAATKACGGGCAAAGCAAATGGGTTAAGGTACCTGCCTTCCACGCAAAACGRTGTGCCGCGAGYGYGGGTAATCACGGGGGAAATAGATTGGGACCGGGGATATGTTTTTTACTGTAAAAGTGGACCTTTAGCTGGGGGTGTATGAATCGAGCTGGCTACCACCCCAAGCCACCATCGATATCTCCCGAGGAACCGAGTGATAACTCGTTAACGATTCTTTCGATCCCTCCCCCTTGTCTTTTCCGTTTCGATTCGACTTCCTTCCTCCGTATTTTCTCTCTTTCTTTTTCCTTTTCCTTTTCTTTTCTTTTCCTTCTTTTTTTTTTTCTTTTGTTCTTTTTCTTTTTCTTTTTCTTTTTTCTTTTTTCTTTTTCTTTTTCTTTTCTTTTTTTTTCTTTCCTTTCCACGAAGGGAAACAAAGTATTAACAAAAGCCCCCCACTGGTGGTCACCCTGGGCGCGGAGATATCTCCCGCATCCCCGGGGACCGATTAGCGGATCCCAGGAAGAAGCTGGCAAGGGTAGGACCGGATCCCATCATATCCCGACGAGGGAGCTCGGCGACACGCATGCACCGCACGGATACTGTTGATGCTGGGGGAATGTCTATGACTGCCTGTATGAGACTGATCTCCCTCTCCTAGCAATGATACCCTTTGATCGCCCTTGCTATGATTTCCCCGAGCATATATAGTGATCTCAACCCTGATTAGTAGCAAGCGCTTGATGGACGGACCTCTGAAGTACATGGACTGAATAGGTCAGGTGCATCCTGCGCAATCTATCCTGGTGCAACTACGAGGGATCGAGGCCTTGTAAGCGGACGGAGTCTTCGGCTATGGCAGACTGGGAGTTCACAACTGGAGCGGAGGAGGACCTGCCAATCACGCCGGAACCTGAGGAGGATATCGTGGCGGAGGAAGCGGTACATGGTCCTCAATCTCCTCTGTGTGTGTGTGTGGAAAGGGATATGGCTGTCTGTGTTGGATTGTGAAATGGATGTGCTGTTTTGCAGGTTGATAACCCCTCTGATGAGCCGGTTGAGTGGCAACGACAAAAAAGYTTTTAGGGGAGCCACACCCCTCCTGCAGCGTTGTTTTGTCCATGAAAGATCGACCGAGCCCCCATCTTTATTGTTYCCAGACATTCTGCCAAGCCTGGTCTCGGGGTCCGCGACTGGGTATCTGTTCATCTAGTTAGCCTTGGGAATTGTTGTTTTTCTTACGATCATCTTGGTAAACTATGGAATATTCTCGGATTCGGTTGGATGACACCTTCTCGCTTTAATGAGAATTCTCTTTTCCATTTGTTGTTGATCGGATTAGTTCTCGACTGCCCCCGAAGAAACCCTTCACCCTGAGAATAGTTGTTTTTCTTGCGATCGTTTTGGTAAACTCTTGAATACTCTCAGATTCATTTGAACGGGATCTTCTAGCTTTAATGGAATTCTCTTTTCCATCTGTACCCTTCACACACCCCCTCCCTTCCACCCGAGTTGATGACGGAACGTACCCTGGTTTGTCCTTTTGCATGCATGTTGTATCCCGATCGAATCTTTCCTTTCTGCCATGAACTTTGGAAGTGTGATGATTTTTTGGTTAATGGAAATGATTCCTCCATTGATTATCGATATCGTAGTCTGATGAAGATAGCTACACTTTTTTCTGATTTGTGAGAAAGTAACCCCCCACCCCCCCTACACCCGGAATGGATCCCGAACCCTTGTCCATAGCTCCTTGATTATGTACTCAACGATGTTGATCGATCAGATCGCTTTGTGAAAAGGAAKCCTTACCCCTCCCGCGGCAGTATTCTTTCCGGAAAAAGTTTGATCGAACCCCATTTTTAGTATCCCCGAATGTTCTCCAATTTTACGGTGTACTATTTAATACTTTCGGATTCGTTGTGAATATAAATCTCCCCGTCTTTCACTATCCCCCCTGTTCTTGATTGGACCCCGAGTACCCGAAGAACTTTTTACGCCTCCTCCTTCAACCCTATTTGATCACGGAAATGTTCCCCGCTTGACCCCTTGTATACATATTATATCCAATCGTATCCCGCCCACGGTGTAATTTTTTTCCTCTTTGTAATAATTAATTTTGATCCCTTCATTAATTAGTTATACTACATTCTGACATAGATAGTTACGAACTTTTATACTCCGATTGCTTTGTAAAAATAAGTTCTTGTGGACACTGTTGCCATCTTGTCAATTCCGCATTAGGGTACATCGAGTTTGGTGGCTATGGAAACGGTATTGTTGGGATATGACTGGACCCTGGCGTACCACCGTATGGGTGGAGTGCATGACGGAGACGTCATGGGAATATACAGGACACACACATGGAGGCTCACCCCTCTAGCTACTGCCAATGGGTTGACTCCCATGGCTGCGCCACGGAGCCTGATCAGACCAACGTGAACCGCTGTAGTAAGCCCACCTGATCGACTCGGAATTCAGCCTATTGATGCATCGGGAATGACGTACTTACTGCACTTGTGCTGTTGTTGTGATGGCTTGGGTCTACATGTTCTTCGTGATAATAACACCTACCACTATCCTATATGAAACCCTGATCGAAGCCTTCCCCCTCCCCCCCACCTTCCTTTCCCTGATCCTCCCTCCTTGGACATGATTTACCTTCCGGGCTCAAACCTAAGCAGGAAGCCCAGTATGGCGGGAACGTGGCCGGCGGATGGTGGGCCGAGACCGTCGATAGGAATCCGTTTCTCGCGGACTTGCAACCGTACTCGAAACCTACCCAGTCCCTTAGCAACGTTATTCACCCTTCGGTGATGACCTTGATTGGCCAAAAGGTCACAGAGGGTCTATTCCCTCTCATCACGGAAACCCTCATCTTCAATGACTGGGCTGACCTTGCCTGGTCTTACGAACACGAGAGGCACCGCGTGGATCTGATTTTGAATGGCCACTTAGCTAAAGCGGATGAGAGGAAGCGGAACTTGGCCAAGGAAAGTGCGGGAATACTGGAGAGGACCACTAGATTGGAGGAAACCCTCAAGAAGATTTGGGAGGTTTGGGAGGATCCTGAGGTAGAAGATGCAAGGACTGGAGGGGATGGGTATGATCAGGCACTCATGGGGATAATGGGGGAAGAAGAGGAGGAACTCAGGCGGCTCTTGGATATCCAGCCCGCGCCCCCCCCTCCACCAGAAGGGGTTGGGCATGGAGCAAGCCAGAACAGGAGTAACGGGTTTGTCCCCATTGGCTCTGCACAGAGGCTTGAGGGTAAGGTGAGGCGACAACAGGATAGAGGATCGGTGGGGAGTGGCTTTAATGACCTGGCTCCGATCAATATCAAAGGTTGGAAATTCCTAGCTGACCTATCGAAAAACGAGGTTGAGGAATGTCGGAGGAAGGCATTAACAGGAACACTGGGCTATGCTAACGCTACCCCACACTTTGGCGGTAAACTCACCTTCCCCACCCTGAGTGTGCTTGACCCTACCAAATGTGTGTTTGCCAACCCAGTGGTTATGCAAAAGATGATCCCATCATCTCTTAGCCTGGACCTGAGGAACCTCTGCAGGGTGTGGAACGCGGGTCGCCCGTACCTCAAGTGCAGATGCGGATACAGGAACTCCTGCACTTGTAACAGTGTACCTATCTGGTTTGATCAAGCGGTTTGGTACCTAATGGCAAAACCTGAGATCATGAAACCGGAGGCGGGATCGAACCGGGTGAGGATTGCGTTTCTCCTCCACCACCTACGCAATTCCTGGAGGGAACTAGCTAAAGCCTCTGTTACATTTATCTGGATAAGAGAGATGATGCTCACTGTGTTGCGCAACCTTGAGCGCAATCCTGAGCTCATGACAACCGACGCTCTTGCGGGCAGCACTTTCAAAACACATGCCTGCCCCAGGATCCTGGCCAACCTGATCCTTCCTACACGGATCACTCCGGGACTCCCTGCCCCGGAAATGTCGAACCCGAAGAAGAAGAAGAACAGGTTAGTGACACCCATCGGTGGCAGATACAAAAAGGCCTGCCCAATGTCACCCCGACAGCAGACCCTCCTGAACTCGTTCAGAGTAACAGCTGCTCCCCTGGGGGCTGCTGTAGCTTCTTCTTCAAGCCCGGCGAGTGTGACCAGCAGCCAACACTCCACAGCCATGACCGATGACCATCCTGATAGCACCACGAGTGCAGGTGGCGCCTCCAGGAAATAGAAGAATATGAGCTAGGGAGCTTGATAACCAGTGCACATATACGCGGATGATATGTGTATGAGTACTCGAGCATGCACGTAGAAATACATGTATATATATATATATATACATATATGTATACACGAATGGGCGCAGCCCCTGTGTCATGAACACATACACACATATATGTATGCACGATTACGTATTCATGCAGAAGCGGATATGAGTTTGTATATATATATATATATATATATATGTATACGTGTATATGTATTGAGACCACATACATGCACGGATGGGCTAGTAACTGGATCTATTCTTCCTTCCCCCCTTTTCCCCCCCTTCCCCCCYCCTTTCCCCCCCTTCCCAACCCCTTCGACCTGATCTCCCTTTCGCCTTCCCCCTTCGTCCTTCCTCTCGGCCCCTACCTAACGGCCCCCCGTTGATCCCTCCACCTTCCAACCCCTCACCCCCCTCCCCGATTCCCCTGCCCTACAGATAGCAGGTAACAGGGACATTACCGCAAATACGATTTGGAGATATGCTCGCCACCTAGCTACATCAGAGAGGGAGTTACGCAACGCCTATGACGTCCTTATTGAAAGGAGTAACCGGATCGTCGTCACCATCTTGCGCTTCGACAGGTAGGAAACAGTCGGCTTTGATCAACCGGACTCGGCGCCGCGACTATGGACCAATCTCATCATGAGAAGATTGAGTGCCAACCATGAAGCTATCATTAACGACTTCAGAAGTCTCTGGCACAATCACAGGGCGCTCCTTCTTGCGGATGCACTTACAAGGGACCTCCAACGGTGCCACCTGGAAAGGAGAGTCGTGGAGCTAAGGAGACAGAACCGGCTACTGGCCGGTACCCTCCACTCTCTCTCTGCCTTTGCGTTAGCCCTTTGCTATATCGTCACCTTGACTGATGGTACGTATACGTGCATGCAGGACTGAAGCAAAAGCGCTATAGCAGATTGAGAGAGCTGGGGTGATCGGAGCAAAGTACGGGATCAGTAAACCCACTCCTTGGGTAGCATGGCGCTGGAAATCGGACGGCGTATTCCGGAGGTGCTCAGAGTGGAACTTGATCCAGATATCTTCCTGCCTTGGCCGCCAGCAGGTCCCACCCTGATCAAGTTTGTCAAGCCTAACGTCTGGGAAGCTCAGAGGAGTACCGCGCAACCTGCCATACCGATCGACACTATTGCCATGGCGGACATCCTGACTGCGATGCCACAAATTACGACCATCACTGGGGTCTTACTTACGGTGGAATATGAAGGAGTGGCGGTAGGGGAGGTGAGGGGGTTTGACACTCGATCGGAGGATGGAGGGATTAACTGTGACATGAGGCTGAGGGGAGTTTCTGGGGATGATGCATTCCCCGGAAAGCAGACTGGGCTACTTTGGCCGGTGATAAGGGCGACTATGAAGGATGTAGCTTCATCAATAGCTGCTACGCTGGACTATGGCGGGGATTCTGGAGGTAGCTGCTTCTATGGATTTGGTGGACTATTTGGCCCGGGATCGGACTTCTGGGGAAGGATTGTGAGGATCGGAGATGCTCTGTACGCGGAGCCGGAACCATGTGCACCAGGCACTGACGGAACTCTGGCGATAATTGGTGCGAACACCGCAACTGTTCAAAGCGATGGTGGAACGGTGGGAGGAAGCGGGATGGGTCAACCGGTGGAAGGAGCACACTGCAGCAAAGCGGCCTGATCGATGGGAGCAAGTGGGGAGAAGGCAGCAAGGGGGCCTTTTCGTCCCAAATAAACTGATACACACACTCTCTTCCCTACATAGCCTCTTCCCCTCCGATCCCCCCACCATGCTTCCTCGCCCCCCTCCCCCTTCTCTCCCTCTCTCTCTCTCTCTCTCTCTCTCTCTTCCCTGCTCTCCCCTCCCCATCCCACTCTCCCCGCCCCCCTCCCTCTTCCCGTCTTGCTCTCTCCCTGCATAGGGATGGCTCCCCGTCCATGCGCATGCTACACTGCTGATGAAGCCCCCAGGCTGGGTAGGAGTATGGAGTGACTCGGACACATGTTTTTCAATTTCATTGTACAATTCTTCGATTTTTCATTTTTCATTTTCCATTTTTCTATTTTTTCATTTTTTCATTTTTCCGTTTCCTTTTCGCCTTGATTGCAGGAGAGCATGGGTCGAATTGAGAATGGGCCCTTGGGTAGACGGAAGTGGTATAGGAGGGAGGATGAGCCACGAAGGAGGTTTTTGCACATGAGATATGTAAGTAGACTGATGGAGGCAGTCTCAGCCAGAGCGTTGATCATTTCCTTGATGACAGCTGTCGTTGGGCAACAATTTGCTGAATGGATGGAGACCGTCACCCTCGGCTGAACTTATAATGAACCGGTCTCCGGGGTACTTTACAAACCTGCGGAAGTATTTCGGGACTTCGATCAGGACCAATGGGAGGGTAGCAAGGGTGGTTGTGCCTGTAGCAGTAGGTAAACTCAGCTTACCAATCCAGCTACCGAGGGATTGCTTGAATCTGGGAAGATTGGGCGAACCACGGGCACCACGTGATCACCACGGACTACACTATTTCCCAGCTACCCCAGCTCAGAACTATCCTGCACTTTGGCCTCAACCATGTTCTCGCCGCTAGGTTAGAGATCGAGGTAGCAGCGAGGGAGATTCTGAAAGCTTTTGATGAAATAATGACGCTATATAGCAAGGAGTATGAGCTCCGGGAGGAAGATTTGTGCAAAGGTAGAGCAGGAATTAAGCGATACTGCTTTAGTAGATTTGTGGAGTATAGAAGGAGGTACAGTGAGGCAGGAGTCATTGACCTCAGTGCGCATTACCTCTCCCATGAGATCTCATATATCACGGATTATTTCTTTGTTGCCAGTATGGATAAAGCTGCAAATACTCCAGTAATCATGTGTAAAGATCTTGTAAGACAGGTAGCATTTGAGAGACTGTCTGGACCAGATTTCGAGAAACTCGAGCATAAGCTAGAGACGATAATCGGAATTATAAGCAATAGCAATACATCTGATTACCCTCTGGGGCCGAAGAAGGTCCCATACCTCATGGCAAACTTCAAAAGCCACAAGAGCACTCTAAGATGGATCACTAATGCAGACCAGTGTGTGTTCTCCCCTGTTGCCTCCTTATGTGCTGGTGCTCTGAAATTGATCAGTGAGGAGGTCCAGAAATACTGTAAAGAAATGTCCCGAACGATTAGAGATCTGCACGAGGTCGATGCGAACCTATGGTGGCCCATAGACTCCATCAATGAATATGTTTTAAGCCTACCTGAGACGATCTTTACGTATTTCTCAACGGATATTAGCCGATGCTTTGAAACGATCCCAACGGATAACTCAAAGCATGGGTTGATCTCGAAACTCTCATTTGCGATCAAGAAAGGTTTTGCATACAGATTGAAAACAGAAAAGGATAAGTACATCAGGATTACCACAACAAACGATGGTAAAACTAAGTATGGATGGACGAATTCGAATGTCGAAAAGCCGGGTGAAAGAACGATTGAACTAAAACAGCTCATTGAAATGAACCAATGGCTGGCAGACAGGAACTACATTCAATTTGGAGGGGGAATCTGGAGGCAGAAGAATGGCATCCCTATGGGGCTGCCTTGTTCACCTATCTGGTGCAACTTGTACTTCTTTCGATATGAATTCGAAAGCATAATCAGACTGCTGAGATCTGGGAACAAACACCTAGTCGCACTTTTCGTACATACATTCAGATATATGGATGATTTGAATTCCATCAATAATACCAGCATTCGGGAGTTTCTTATGGAAAATCACCTCCTCAACGAGGAGGATCCCATCTGCCTGTACCCCTCTGAATTCATCGAGATCAAAGAACAAAACATCGATGACAAAACTAGCACATTCCTGAACCTGAAACTAAGAATCGAGACGCCGGAAGGGGGATACAACACGGAGAAATTCGACAAGGTGGAAGAGATGGGATTGGAAGTGAATAGGTACATCAGATTTGACTCCAACAGACCAATTAAGCAGTCGCTATCGATCATTCTCGGACAAGTGGCAGCTGCGCTTATTGTCTCATCAAACCCCACCACAGCTGCACGGGACGTTAAAAGAATTGTGGACAGAATGAGTCGGGATGGGTTTAATGAGAAAAGGTGCTGGGGAATGGTGAGGAGGGTGTTGAGGAACCCTGAACGATACCAGCCATTCGGATGTGCGACGGACGAAGTTTACCGCATTCTTCGATCCTCATTCGGAATGAATTACTAACCCCTGTTGTGCTATGTAATTGCAGTGTGCCGTGTATCTGTCTGTGTGTGATGTGACCCTGGATCCTCTACAAGACGGACCAGGGTGGTATCTGCGAGGAACATGTATGGGACAGGTACCCTTGCAGGTACCTGTCCCAACCAGGAACCCCCTTCGCAGGGGACAGTGGGAGGGACACACACACACACACATATACTCAGGAATTGAAGGGACCACCCCTCGGAGGGAGCAGCGACGGGAAGAGGGCTCGGAAGAGAGCCCCGGGAGTATGCGGACCCGGGTAAGATTACAAACGGGCCTCGAACAGAATAATACCCCGGTACAGGAACCCACACTCTTCCGAGAACAAGGAGCGACCGGGCTCGAACCAGGTACCTGCGGAACAAGTAGGCACGTGCCCACAGACCCACCCATCTACGACCCCCCAATGAAAAAAGCAGAAGTAATCAACTATTATCTTTTGAACCCACCCTGCACTTGAAAAACAGTGAACCTCAAGCYCRGGACCTACGGACCAAGCAGGMGGGTACCCCATCCCCCTTCRATATCTCYCGATCATGGGATATCGGAGGCGGATCTTTTTCGAATCAGGGAACTCTGTCAGGGAGTAATKACGGGCAAAGCAAATGGGTTAAGGTACCTGCCTTCCACGCAAAACGRTGTGCCGCGAGYGYGGGTAATCACGGGGGAAATAGATTGGGACCGGGGATATGTTTTTTACTGTAAAAGTGGACCTTTAGCTGGGGGTGTATGAATCGAGCTGGCTACCACCCCAAGCCACCATCGATATCTCCCGAGGAACCGAGTGATAACTCGTTAACGATTCTTTCGATCCCTCCCCCTTGTCTTTTCCGTTTCGATTCGACTTCCTTCCTCCGTATTTTCTCTCTTTCTTTTTCCTTTTCCTTTTCTTTTCTTTTCCTTCTTTTTTTTTTTCTTTTGTTCTTTTTCTTTTTCTTTTTCTTTTTTCTTTTTTCTTTTTCTTTTTCTTTTCTTTTTTTTTCTTTCCTTTCCACGAAGGGAAACAAAGTATTAACAAAAGCCCCCCACTGGTGGTCACCCTGGGCGCGGAGATATCTCCCGCATCCCCGGGGACCGATTAGCGGATCCCAGGAAGAAGCTGGCAAGGGTAGGACCGGATCCCATCATATCCCGACGAGGGAGCTCGGCGACACGCATGCACCGCACGGATACTGTTGATGCTGGGGGAATGTCTATGACTGCCTGTATGAGACTGATCTCCCTCTCCTAGCAATGATACCCTTTGATCGCCCTTGCTATGATTTCCCCGAGCATATATAGTGATCTCAACCCTGATTAGTAGCAAGCGCTTGATGGACGGACCTCTGAAGTACATGGACTGAATAGGTCAGGTGCATCCTGCGCAATCTATCCTGGTGCAACTACGAGGGATCGAGGCCTTGTAAGCGGACGGAGTCTTCGGCTATGGCAGACTGGGAGTTCACAACTGGAGCGGAGGAGGACCTGCCAATCACGCCGGAACCTGAGGAGGATATCGTGGCGGAGGAAGCGGTACATGGTCCTCAATCTCCTCTGTGTGTGTGTGTGGAAAGGGATATGGCTGTCTGTGTTGGATTGTGAAATGGATGTGCTGTTTTGCAGGTTGATAACCCCTCTGATGAGCCGGTTGAGTGGCAACGACAAAAAAGYTTTTAGGGGAGCCACACCCCTCCTGCAGCGTTGTTTTGTCCATGAAAGATCGACCGAGCCCCCATCTTTATTGTTYCCAGACATTCTGCCAAGCCTGGTCTCGGGGTCCGCGACTGGGTATCTGTTCATCTAGTTAGCCTTGGGAATTGTTGTTTTTCTTACGATCATCTTGGTAAACTATGGAATATTCTCGGATTCGGTTGGATGACACCTTCTCGCTTTAATGAGAATTCTCTTTTCCATTTGTTGTTGATCGGATTAGTTCTCGACTGCCCCCGAAGAAACCCTTCACCCTGAGAATAGTTGTTTTTCTTGCGATCGTTTTGGTAAACTCTTGAATACTCTCAGATTCATTTGAACGGGATCTTCTAGCTTTAATGGAATTCTCTTTTCCATCTGTACCCTTCACACACCCCCTCCCTTCCACCCGAGTTGATGACGGAACGTACCCTGGTTTGTCCTTTTGCATGCATGTTGTATCCCGATCGAATCTTTCCTTTCTGCCATGAACTTTGGAAGTGTGATGATTTTTTGGTTAATGGAAATGATTCCTCCATTGATTATCGATATCGTAGTCTGATGAAGATAGCTACACTTTTTTCTGATTTGTGAGAAAGTAACCCCCCACCCCCCCTACACCCGGAATGGATCCCGAACCCTTGTCCATAGCTCCTTGATTATGTACTCAACGATGTTGATCGATCAGATCGCTTTGTGAAAAGGAAKCCTTACCCCTCCCGCGGCAGTATTCTTTCCGGAAAAAGTTTGATCGAACCCCATTTTTAGTATCCCCGAATGTTCTCCAATTTTACGGTGTACTATTTAATACTTTCGGATTCGTTGTGAATATAAATCTCCCCGTCTTTCACTATCCCCCCTGTTCTTGATTGGACCCCGAGTACCCGAAGAACTTTTTACGCCTCCTCCTTCAACCCTATTTGATCACGGAAATGTTCCCCGCTTGACCCCTTGTATACATATTATATCCAATCGTATCCCGCCCACGGTGTAATTTTTTTCCTCTTTGTAATAATTAATTTTGATCCCTTCATTAATTATTTATACTACATTCTGACATAGATAGTTACGAACTTTTATACTCCGATTGCTTTGTAAAAATAAGTTCGTGTGGACATTGTTGCCATCTTGTCAATTCCGCATTAGGGTACATCGAGTTCGGTGGCTATGGAAACGGTATTGTTGGGATATGACTGGACCCTGGCGTACCACCGTATGGGTGGAGGGCATGACGGAGACGTCATGGGAATATACAAGACACACACACACACACACGCATGCGGGGCAACTGCCCGTTTTAATTTTGCCACGAGTTTCCTTTTTTTTTTTTTTTTTTTTTTTTTTTTTTGTTTTAAATTTTTTTAAAAAAATTTCAATGGTAAAAAAAAACAAAACAAATGGGGATGTAGATCTTTTCAAGATCTACAACCCCATGACTGTTTTTATGGGATGGTTCGTGCTAGCCGTCCTGCTGAATG